TATTGATGTCAAGAATTTAGTTTCTTAGATGCTGATAACCCAAACACGCTCCTTTACGTTCCCAACATATTGATGCCCCGTGTGAGGCTATGTTATTCCCAACATATTGGTGCCCTGTGTGAGGCTATGTTATTCCCAACACAGCAATGACATGATTTTAAATCAGTGAAAAAATCCTTCAAATCATTATAAGAATATGTGTTTGTGTGTGTATGGTTTGTGTTGTAAAAAGTGTATTTTAGCCAGTCTGTTATCAGCCCTATAAAACACCCTGTTATGAAGTGTATGTGATTATACCTTCTCTGTGTATGTTGACTGCTGCATAGGGGAAGTGGCCATTGTTGTAGAGCTTCACAATCCAGCGTACAGTAGATTTACACAGGCCCACTATCTCTACTGCTGAGCCATCCCTAGATCACACACAAACACACAGAGATACAAAGACTTGCAGTGATCATAACAGGAAGCAGGTGCAAAGTCAGAAAAGGTGTATCTAATGACAAATATTGAGCTGTGTAGGTTGTCCCTCTAACTTAGTTGGTACTTAACTAATATCATGAACCTCTTCACAGTTTAACAGACATCTGTCTGTCAAATTCAGTTCACCACTGAGATCCATCAGCAGCCAAACTAATATTTACTCTGGTCCAAGAGCAGAGAATAAAGAAATGTGTCCACTACACTGTCTTAGTATCTAATTTCCTTAAGTATCTTATTCAAGCAATTTCAATGATGTGTGCATAAAACATACCAAGTCTAAACATAAAGGCAGCTCTAATTAAGCAGGACTGAATAAAAGCACAAGTCAACAACAGCATTAACTGAAACATTAAAGAAAAAAATCTTCAAACACTTTGAAAATGATCTCCATACACACAGCACATACATACATACAGCACTGTTTTAGAAATAATCCCCATCCATACTGACATGCTTAAAAATGCATATCACATGACTTATTTACATACACTAGGCATGCAAGTTTTATTTTTCAAACTTATTTACAAGGCTGCCTATAGGTCTTGCTCTATCTCTCTCACACACACATTACATTTATTTCAAAATGCACAGTTACAAATCAAAGTTTTACTTGATTATTGGTCAAGAAATGTGGTCAACGCGTCTCACTCGTTTTGCCTTGGTTTCGTCTGTTCTCACACTTGTAGCTCTGCTGAGTGGTTGGAAGACTTTGTCGCACTGGAGAGCAGCATTAATGCATTTGTTTGTTTACAGTTTCTGTGTGAACTTCACAATAGTTGTATGGAAATAAGCACAAGCCTAGACAAGTCCTCCGTTTTATGTACATCGCCCTCCAAACTGCAAACCATGCCGTCAAACATCCGCTTTGTAGGGCGGATAACGTTACTGGAAACCGCTCGCAAAGCGGTTGCCTCCTGCGCTTGTCGGCAGTAGTAGAATTATAAAATTCAGAATTTAACTGCACAACAGCTGCTAGCATAGAGAAAAATGCCAGCAACTCCTGTAATTGAATGAATTAACCATTGGTAGTCTATCTTTAATCAAGGCTGATGTTTCCATCTTCAGTCTTACATTGCCTCCGCTCTAATTGGGTGTTGGGGGTTAGTTTTTCGCTAACCAATCACTAGGGCAACTGTGGCTCATTGTTAGAGCGGGTCGTCCTTAAATCAGAGGATCGGCGTTTCGATCTTCGGCTCCGTCTGTCCAAGTCAATGTGTCTTTAGGCAAGGACACGTGTCCTTGGGCAAGACACTTAATCCCAAATTGCTCCCGTAGGCTGAGCCTGCGGTGTATGAATGGGTATGAATGTTAAATAGTCCTAATGGGCAGGTGGCACCTTGCATGGTAGCCCCTGCCATCAGTGTATGAATAAATGTATGAATTGGTGAATGACATGTGTTAAAGTATTTTGAGTGGTTGGAAGACTAGAAAAGCGCTGTACAAGTAGAAGTCCATTTACCATTTACCATTAGAGACCAATGTATCCACCTGAATCTAAAGTCATTTCAAGGCGACAGGTGATGTATCACCATGACAACATACCTTGTGCCGGTGTTTTAAGAGTGGAGCGAAACGATTTGAAAGAGAAAATGAAAAAACAGAACTAGCGAATTATGTCGGGAAATATTGAGAAGACATGACATACTGTACATGTAAAATGTATTTGTCAATCAAGGGGGTTATATGAAATTCACTATTGAGTATTAAACTATTACTCAGCAGCCCAAACTCAAAGGCAACACCATTGAGTGAACAATTCAGAGATGTCGGGGTAATTCTCCTTTATTGACCAGGAATCTATTCTGAGAGGATTAGTTGTAAGGGTTGAAGATTCACAAAAAGTGGTAAAGAGGTGGCACTCAGAGCTTAACTTTAAAGTTACAGACACAAATGAGGAAGGCTTGAGAAGAGTACACAAGAGGGACCCTGAAAGGCCAACAAAGATGGAAGATGGAAAAAGAAGCTATGCCAGAGTCTCAACCCGACATCTCTTAGCAGAACGACAGAGGTCAATTATGTTTTTTTCCCAGAGATCAAAGCAGAGTGCAGTTCGATACTTTAAAAATATTTAGAACAGCCTCGATAGCGGCATCAATGTCCCCGTTGTTATTACAACTCAGTTCTGCGCTTCCTGCTAACCCTAACCCGAGTCCAACAAAAGCCCTTTCTTTCTTATCCCCTCCGGGGAGGAGAACCTTTCAGGTTATAATGGTTTCTTTGTTTACAGCTGTCATTTGATAGTCTGGAATGTTGGGCAAACAAGTTTGTAATGACAAATTACACAAACATCAAGAGGCATAACATTGTCCACAAATAAAAAACCTCATGCAGCCTGATCAAAGTCTGAGGTATCCTGTTCCTTAGTAAGTTTATACAGAATGAAAATAATGTTGGATGTTTCCTGAACTAACCAAAAGGGAGATAACGCACCTGGGTGTAGCAGGTATTCCCTTGTTGTGCGCCTTCTCACTCTCACCCATCTTGTCCATCCAAGTTCCACAGTTGAAGCGATTTCCTCCATAAATGAAACCAGTGGTCTGGTCTACTCCGACCTCTACATTAAATCCTGGCGGGAGTGAGATGGACTGCTATTAACAGGGTCAGAATGTAAGCAGCATGTCAAAGTTATAAGGTTATTTATAGTCAATGTACAACAGAGTTGCACTATGAAATGCAGGACATAGTCCCATTTTGCCACATAAGAAGACACACACCCAAAAAACAAAGTGATATTTATCTCGGTCGTGCAGTCACAAATGATACAATAAAAATATGCCTGGACAGCCATTCACACTATGTATGGTTCATGCCCAGGTGCTTATTTATGACCATTGTGTACGCACAACATGGGGCCTGAAACCCGAGCTCTATAAGCACAGACTGAGTCCTTTACCAAGGGGGCCCTGTCACTCTTTTGCCGCTCACTGAAGAGGATGTCGGAAGGCAGACAGCGGTGTGTACTGCCTTATGGACTGTGGGGTCCGCACATAGTTTGGGAATAATAATAATAGTTTCATTATCCAAGCAAAATATTTCATCCACACATTTTTTTAAAGCTATTTCTATATTTGCTGTATATCTAAACAAGATAATTATATACTAAATATGTAATGTTGTAATATTTAAAAAAAACTATCTGCATGAATATCTATGAATTCCTGATTGACTTGGGTTTTTATTTCAATTTTATTTATTTTTGTCTTGTAATTGTAATTTTCTTTGTTATACTGTTGTCACTTGCTTGATTTTTTTGGATATTGTGCACTGAATTCTCTTTAATAGAACATGTACCTTTTTGATTGTACAATTAAAATAAATGCTAACTGCCTGTGTTGTGCACTGTATTCCATATGCTGGGTCCTATTTTCATCAAGAGGTTGCACACGCCATTTTCTTTTTTTTCTTGTTGGGCGACTGTTGCTCAGTGTTGGGCGACTGTGGCTCAATGGTAGAGCAGGGTCGTCCTTCAATCAGAGAATCCCTGGCTGCGCTAGTCCATGTTGATGTGTCCTTGGGCAAGACACTTAAGCCCAAATTGCTCCTGTAGCTGTGCCTACGGTGTGTGAATGATCTATGAATGTTACTTAGTACTGATGGGCAGGTGGCACCTTGCATGGTAGCCCCTATCATCAGTGTATGAATTGGTTTGAATGGGTGAATGATGACATGTAGTGTTAAATACAAGTACAGTCCATTTACCATTTTACTTTGTCATGTTGTTCAGACACATACAACAAACAAAGGAGATTTTCTTCTAACTGTCAGGAGATCACCATCATGTTCTCTAGTGTGCATGTGTGGATCAAATCTGTCGATGCAGATTGTACAGAAGCGTGTGCAAGTCCCCTTTCCGCTGACTGCCCCCATACTGAAGAACCTTGTTATTGAGAGGGCAATGGCTCGAGTCCAGCTTGGGAACCTTGTTGAGTGAATCCATATCATATATAAACATGCCTTTCTGTGAATTTACCACTCAATCTATTGATGCACAACCACGAAGAATGCCTGGTGTGACCTGATCTGTGTAAAGGTAGACATCTAATATGAATTAGTAAGCAGTATTGTTAATGAGTACATGCAGATACCTTCATCAGTCATATTGCTATCCAGCTGTGGCCCAGCATTGGTCTCTCTGAACAGGATACCCTGCATGTGCCTCTGCATGGCCTCTTGGATCACATCATACAGTGGCTGATCCTAAAAGAAACACACAGTTCAAATTATCCACATGATACGATAAAAACATTTTTTAAAGTCTGTAAAATTATCAATTTTAAATGGCAAATATCTCATTTTACAGGCTCTTCTTGAAATGATAATGACTGATAATACCACTGCATGGTATGCAACAGTACGCAAATACAGTTTTGATACTTACCGTGTGTATTTCCATTTTATGCTATAGCATATGTCCTGCATTTTTATAAATAACTGATATATATTTGTAATGGATTTTCTTTACACGGTGCTTCTGCTACTTTTACTGTAAAGGATCTGAATGCTTCTTTCACCCCTAACCATACGCAGGTTGCTAGTATCACCTGCTTCTATCTTACCGGTTGCTAGTGCATGAAGTTTCATGTTGTAATTGTGTGTGACTGTGATAAACAACAGGCTGTGGTAGAGCAGAATGACACTGTTCACATGACTGTTTCTGGTCACATCACTGTGATATTTAACTAACACAATTATGTTACAGCTTACATATTTGCATTCACATAATAATCCATTCCACATGAGTTGACTGACAACAATCAGTATAAAATAGGCTTATCTGTTCATTGCCAACATATTAGAAAAAGGTAATCATAGCACCTCTCTGGTATGGATTTGATCATCAGTGGCTCACTCATGTCAAGAACCAGTGAGAAAACAGTGCAAATTCCTACCAAGGCTCCAGTAGGCTGAGACACATTAGTGGGGTACATCCTTTGGACAGGACACTTGAGGATGGAGAGACCGTCTTGTACAAGTGTGCAGTACTCCTGAATACACTGCAGCCACCACCACACAGCATCCCTGCAGTTGTAACGCACACTGCAACCCTGGCCCAGCAGGTTAGGGATCAGGCCATGATGCAATGTCCCGGCAAATACCAAGATGATGTTCCTGTGACAATCGGGACAGGTGTTTTATAGATAAGCGTGCATACAGTATGTACGTGGCAGTGTATAATGGGTAGGAAATAAATCAATTTGGTAGCAAGGCAACAGTAAATAGTGTTTACCATTAATTTGGCTACCTAGACTGTGAAGGCCCACCACAGCTCAATAATGAACCAAAAATAGGTTTACACTTGTCAATGGGTTGGAGTCCACACAGTCTACCTAGGGATTTCTACATTTTTCTTCCCTTCTAAAGGGTGTGAAGTCTACCCATCACAGTCTCACAAATCCCTGTGGGAAACACTGAAATACCAGTGCTGCTGTATCTGCAGTTAATGTGATTTGCATAAAATCTTGCTGAATAATTTCTTCTGATGCCTGACAGGTGTTGCACATGTCCAAAAAGTAAGGAGCACAAAGAGAGTGTATCTAGTTATAGTACTTTTAAAGTGAATCTTTCACAAACTCAGTTGACCCAGTCTCGGCACACTCTGGTCATTTGAGAGTAGGTTGACTGCCAGAATTAATCCAAAATAGGTAGTTGCACTATTGGACATTTGAATCAGATTGGTTTAGTATTAGTATTCGTTTAGTAAAGAAATAAAGACCACAGTACCATCAGTCCAAAGAGACAGTGCTCAAAGCCTTACATTTCTTGAAGCCCATATTCTCCTCCCTTGTGAAGTTGTGTGGCGGACTCACCGAGCTTCCAGATGTCTGCCAGTGAGCAACAGCAGTCCTCTCAGGGAAATGAAAGTGTCACGGCCCCAACATCGGAATGCCCCAGCACAAAAGTGAGGAAGACCTTAGTAAAGATAAACAACTATTATCTTGAAAATAACCTATGCTGTGCCTTGCAAAGTTTAGATTAAAACTATTAAAAGATAAGGCTGGTGTTATCATGTATTTGTCTTTATGTGTTCTGAATACCTTCTGACCTCCCTACTCTGTGGTTCTCAGCCCCATGCCTATTGGTGCCTATACTGAAGATTTGAATCTTTAAAAACTGCGATATAACTGCATATATGGTTTATTTTTATATCTGAAATATTTTTTATAATACATAATTTATATGATTTATGGTAAAATGCTCATTGATATCATAAAACAGAAAGACATATCTAGCAATAGTGTATTTGTTGGGGATTATTTAAAGCGGCAAAATAATCTACATTTTGGTGCTCTAGTGAGAATCTGTGTCAGCATGAAGGTGTATGTGAGACTGAGTCAAAATAAACTGTGTTCGTAATGACGGAACATAGCCTATCACCCAGTGCAGCAGTGTGACTCATTGATGTGTTTTTGATAGTATTTGGACAACAATGAAGCTCTATCGCACACAGGAAGAAGTTAGATCAGGCTTTGATACACACACAATACTAGTTAGTGGGATAACTTTATTGTTGATTTGTTTTTTTTTCATGGGATTGCTTCACTATGAGAAATGAATGCTCAGTTTGGAGATGATAGGGGATCCATAGTAACGTGTGCTCCACTTGGTAAAGTATTGTACTTTACTGCACAATATTTGTTTGTGGCGACTCGCATGAACTCTAGTTAATTTCACTTCCTTTTTTATTTTTGGACCATTTATGTATGTGTGTTAATTCCGCTAGATCAGAGGTAGCCAACACGGAGCCCGTGGGCACCTGGTCGCCCGCAGGGACCACGTGAGTCGCCCGCAAGGCATGTTCTAAAAATAGCACAAGTCACCATGAAGCTCCATCTAAACATTGTAGTTGCTGTTCTTTTTTAATCAAAAATGCTTGCATTATTGTAGATTTTAAAATGACAATATTTCTTGTCATAAGAGAGTTGGGTACCCAGAGGCGCACGGCGGACAGCCAGGAAGAGGCTGCCGTACCGCACTAGGTTTTCAGGTTCCGAATGGCGGGCACTTCCCGTTGGCACCGGACGCACGCGAGCGAGCGCACCCTGTCGTCAGGTCCGTCAGTCCTCGGAACAGGCCGCGGGGCAACAACTCTTGGGTGGCGCGGGCAAAGGCGAGGCAACGCAATCCGACTGAAAAGCGCCAGACTAGAGGTTTGAACGCGCCCGAAGATACTCGCGCGCCTCGGAGGGTTGGATCTTCCCCTCGGCTATAGACGAGACTTTTTACTAGTTTCTTCGTGGAGAAAAAGGTATCCAAAATGTCTACCACTGCATCATTCACCAGCAGGCGCTATGTGCAAAAGTAACCGGCTTTGATCATGTGTATGACTCCTATCGTGAAGATCATAAATGGCATCCGCTCCAAAGCCAAACAACACAGGATATTCATAACTGATTGTCCCATGTTTATACAAATCGAGTTGATTTGTTGATCATGATTTGTTCAAACATGTTACAAAAGTGGTTAGTACCAACGAGACATGATTTGAAGAGATGACAGTTAATGATTTCATAAAATATGTTAGGATAATTTTTACAAAAATATAACAGGTGTGATTTTGAACTAAATGCTACAAATCATATTCATACAAAACTGTCAAGAAAGATATTTACTAAAATATCAGAGATGTGATACCTCTGACTTTCAAATGTTGAAACAGAAGAACAGAAATAAATGTTTAAATATATCTGTGTTTCCTACCATCATGTTGTGGAAATCATTGTCAATAATTATTGTGAGGAATAATTAACATTGACATGTGATCAGACAGTCTCTTCACACATATTATTATTATTATTAAAAGGTGATCTGTGCAACTTTGTTATTCAGGAAGTTTGTATCAAACAAGTAGCCCTTCGTACTACTCGGAACCCTTGAAGTAGCTCTCAGTTTCAAAAAGGTTGGTGACCCCTGCGCTAGATGATTGTCCTGCCTTGTTTTGAACTGAGCCTCAGTAAAACTTTGATTTTGAGAACTCCATTCTCTGGTCTGTTCTCTGTGCTTGAGTGGTACTCTGATCATCACAATGTTGTGTATGGAACAGACAAACTTGTATTTGAAGTTATCAGTTGCTTGTAACTCATCTGTGCAAGCTAGCAGAATTAGTTTATCCCCTAGCACACAGATACTATCATTGCTCTCCTGCTTTCACCTGCTTGCGAGTAGATTTTTAGTACGCGTTTTCATTGAATATTAAGCATGTATGCCTGAAGAGTCTTCTGCTCCTAGATGAGGTTTCTTTCTTTTTACCAATGTTTCTGTAATTACTTTGCATCCACTTCACATGTGATTAGCCTAGGGGTTACACCAAATTACCCCCCCACCCCCTCCCCTCGCACACACAAACACCCTCCCACAATGTCTGTACCTCGGTTAGGCCCTTAAATACACACCTAGCTCACCCCATGTTATCTTATCTCACCTTTCTGTGTCTACTGAAATGAGAAAGACGAATTGAAAGTACATACCTGCTGCCAGTGACACAAAGCACTGCTCTTCTTGATTAGTGACTTCACTAAGATGGTTTGGGACATCTTTAAGGTGAGGAGAGTTTGTGGACAGTGTCCAGCTGTGACCCACACTACACATCTGCACCGAACCCAGTGCCAGTAGTTTAACCAGGCTGGAACCATTCTGCACAAAGCTAATGTAGCCAAAGGAACACAGTAGACAGGGACACAGTTATCACAAAGTGGACAGTTTGACATCAGCATATTATTTATCATTTCAAGTCGAATGAATGAAAAGATTAGTGACTTAGGGTATGAATGGAGTGATGAATGAATGAAAGAAAGAATGAATGAATGAATAGACAGTTAGGCATACAAAAAGCCTACTTGTTCTACATAGTCGAGTTATATAAGATACAAAAAAAAAAATCAGTAAGTAATATCAGTATATATTTGTCTGACGAACCAATATCACTAAGCCTTTCATCAAAGAGCATTAGAGAAAGGAAAGAGAAATCAAAAAGCAAAGAAAAACACCTTGACATTTGGTTGAAAACAGCCTCCACAGCAGTTGTGTAGGCTCCCTCGATGATCGAGTCAAAGTAGCAAGGCACCAGGTAGCGGGGAATGTGTTTCAGGTATCCAAACATGGCCTGGAACCAGTGGCCCACCTGTAGGTCAAAGGTCAACATCAGGATCAACACTTCAGATTCTGTGCTGCAGTCTACTGCATAAAGTACAGCAATGACACAGCAGCTCCCTGGCCAAACCTACACTAATGCAGACAAGTACATTTTCTAAATGTATGCTGTCTACACTGAAATGACAAATAGCTAAATCTCAATAGTTCCGTGGCTCCTGGTATGACAACAAAACTGTAAAGTATTGCCTTGATACGTTGTAAATGTGGTTGGATCCACAGAACGGTTTGACAAGCATGGCTAGTTGTTGCTCTGCCAGCCCCGTCTCCTGTTTTATATCCTTCCAATTTTCTTTGTAATATCTGAAATTTCTATATAAGAAGTCATTGAGAGGTAGTCGGATTCAGGGTTTGATCTGCAGGTAAAGCTCTGGTGTGTTACTTCTGATTTTGATCACCTCTTTTTGTATTTCAGTGCAATTGATAATATTATTCAGGGGTTGTCAGTGACAGACAGTAACATCTTGTATGTTGACAGATTACTGTACAAGTAGGGGTTTACCACTAACCCAGGGGTCTCAAACTCATTTTCACTCATGACGTGGCGGGCCGGGAGTTTGAGACCCCTGCACTAACCTAACACTAAGTGGACCTTTGAGTTGAGATTATTTTGCCACACTGCTGTTTCCAAGGTCAAAAGTGAAGCTCCATGCTGATTGGCTGACTTGATGTGGATTTTCCTGTTAGAGCTATGAAGAGAGGACTCTCCATGATATTACATTACTGGAGTTTCCTCTTATTATATACATATGGCATGTGACAACATTAACAGGTAAAATACAACCCTGATATGTAACCTGACTGTAACTCACCTCTCCAACAGCTCCACCCTTGGCAACGAGTCTGTTGGAGACATAGTCCATCATCCAGTCTCCCTGCCTCAGGTTATCACAGAGCGGATGACCAAGATCATTCTTGGGACGTATCTCTGCCATCACTGCCATCAGCCCTAAGAACCATAATTTTTTCACGGATATTCTTTATGGTAATGATGATGATTATTATATTTCTGCATACGTTGAACTTCTGTGGCTTTTATTAAGTGTGTTTTAGGTACCTTGCAGGCCTCCATAGTTGAGAGGTAACCATGAAGGAATACTGTAGCATCCTCCCCCATCCTCTCGCTCCTCGGCATCACAGCGGTACAGCAGCACGTTCATGTCCGCTAGGGTCAGCTTGGACATGATGCTGAAGCGGTAGGAGCACATCAGTGGCGACGATGACCATCAATGACAGTACAGACAGTAGGATTAATGGTAAATGGACTTGTACTTGTATAGTGCCTTTCTAGTCTTCCAACCACTGAAAGCGCTTTACCACCATATTTCACTTACCCTTTCACACCCATTCACTGACCGGTGGCTCAGCCTTCGGGAGCAATTTGGGATTAATGGCATGTTTTTCAGCTGCCAACTCATGCATCAACATCAACATTCTAAATCAAGATATCAGATTGCTGCATCCATAATAATACATGATTACTACTTGTTATTGTTGTTTTAGTTGCTGAGGCATACGAACATCTTCAGCGGCTTGTTGAGAATAGGTGGTGTACTTTGTTCAGCCACGCAGCCAGTCTGGTACTGAAGACTAAACTGGATCAGATGGTGTCTAAGCGCCCACAGCTGATCCTGGGACCTGGGCTCTAGAGTCACCCTGTAGATGAACACAGACCACAAGCAGATCTAAACTAGGCCAGACATGCATGAAACTAATCAGAGGATTCAGACAGACTCAGAACAGCACTTTTCTTTTACTCCATCCACTGACCCACCTGAAGATGATGATGCTGCCTGGTGTGAACTTCTCAAACACTATCTCCTGAGCAACACTGTTGTGTTTTGACACCATAACTGCCTTTTTCACCACCTTACTGTCCTTCAGCTGGAAGATATTCCGCAACACTTTAAATGTCTCGACATGATACTTGAAATATGTATTATATGGATCATTGCATAGTTTTGCATGTTGTAAAGTCTTTATTACAATTCATATATACTTAACATTACTGCTCTCTGGCAGAGGCACTAACCATACAGCACTAGAATGCTTTTATTTTGTTGACCTCAGTACAGAGACAGCAACTCAAGATAATGTTTAAATGTATCCAGAATCCTAGACCACTGAAGATGACTTAAGTTTGTACCTGGATTCTTTCTTTGATCTCTACAGTGCACTCCGGCAAGCCATTGATGTTTGTGTCATCTTTTTTGTTGGAGTTGGTACTCCTCTCAATGGCCAGAGCCTCCAACACCACCTCTTCAATATGACCTATGAAGGCATGAAAAAGAAATGAGTCTCGGTAAGCTGGAACCTCTAAAAGTGGAGGCAACATGCGCCTAAGGATGAGGATAAGACAAAAGATAGAAAAAAAGCTGGAAAATAACCACCCTCATTTGGTTTGCATATTGTTTGTATTATCTCTACTTGTATGCTTGAATTGTTTTTTTATCTGTTTTGTTATGTCTGTAATTCTATCTCCATCTATCACTATGGATTGTATTTGACTGCCCTTTGCAACAACAAGCCCAGAAACAAAAGATAAGAGCTTAGGATCAGGATGAGTTTGTACGACTATCACCTGGTATGAACAAAGGTGGAACATCATTTGTATAACGGTGTGTTTCTGGATTCTCGATCGCCCTTCGCAGCACAGCCACCACAGACTGGTGATTGCTGGGACAGTGTCTGGTCACTGCAACCACGTCCTCATCCAACTGCTCCACATACACCTGCACATCCAACCAGAAAAAAAAAGACAGACGAGATTTGAAATATGACAACAAACAAGGTGATGCCAGTGCTGTAACCACATATAGAATCTCCTCATTGCTATGTGGGGGTTATTCTAACTTCATTACATTTTAAGCTTGATTATTTATCAATTTTACTAATATAAAAGTAATATGTACTTCGGCTCCAACAAATATTCACTCCATCACCTGAGAAATGTGTACACTACACTGTCTTAGTATCTCATTTAATTTAGTGGTTTATTCTGTGTGCATAAGAATAACAAGCTTTGACATTCACTTAAACACAGACAGTGGCAGAATTTCAGTCTTAGTATTACTGGATCTCAGTGCTGCATTCGACACGGTCGACCATGACATACTAGTAGAAATACTAACAATCTGGGTGGGACTCTCTGGCACAGCACTTAACTGGTTTGAATCCTACTTGAAGCGCTGGGTAAATGCATTGAACAAATCAACAACTGGATGTGCCAGAAATTTCTTCAATTAAAACAAAGATAAAACAGAAGTAATTGTTTTTGGTACCAACGATGAATGATTGAAGGTCAGCGCTCAGCTTCAATCACTGATGTTAAAAACCACAAACCAAGCCAGAAATCTAGCTGTTGTTATGGATTCAGACCTCAACCTGAACAGCCATATCAAGACAATTACAAAATCAGCCTACTATCACCTGAAGAATATATCAAGGATTAGAGGACTTATGTCTCAACAGGATTTGGAAAAACATGTCCATGCATTTATCTTCAGTAGACTCGACTACTGTAACAGTGTGTTTACAGGTCTCTGTAAAAAGTCAATCAGAACGCTGCAGCTCGAGTCCTCACTAAGACCAAGAAAGTGGATCACATCACTCCAGTTCTGAGGTCTTTGCACTGGCCTCCTGTCCAACAAAGAATTGACTTTAAAATCCTGCTGTTGGTTTATAAAGCACTGAATGGTTTAGGACCAAAATACATCTCTGATCTGCTACTATGAACCATCCCGACCCCTTAGGTTGTCTGGGACCGGTCTACTTTCTGTTCCCGGAGTCAGAACTAAACATGGAGAAGCAGCGTTCAGTTTTTCTGCTCCACATATCTGGAACAAAGTCCCAGAAAGCTGCAGGTCTGCTGAGACCCTCAGCTCCTTTAAATCAAGATTGAAGACTTTTCTGTTTCCTGCTGCCTTTAATTGAACCAGATTCAAGGATATTAATCAATTTCCTGCATTTCTGTATTTTACTACTGTATTTTATTTCTTACACTGGTTTTTAGTGTTTTAATGACTGTTTTTAATGTTTCAATGAATGTTCTTAATTGTTTTGAAATCTCCTTCTCTTTTGCCTTATGTTTTGATGCTTTACATTTTTTTAGGTCTTGTGGGAAGACACCTGAGAGAAGGGATGTGTTTACAATTTGTAAAAGATCAGTGGTCATGCAGTTTGAAATATTTTTATCCAGAGGTCTTCTGAAGATGAAAATGAATGGTCTCCAAAGGTAAAAACCGTATTTAAATTTGAGTAAAATAATCAATGACCTGCCAGCCAACAAAAGATGCCAAACATCAGGCTCTGGTACATATGCATAACATAATGTTGGATATTTCTCTTTGCACTTTGTCCAATATCCCTTCTATCCTGTTTATTAAATGTTGACCCTATTTGGCCCTAAACATAGTCCCAATTTTTGTATTTTAGCCCTCTCTGTGATTGAGTTTGACACCCCTGCCATATATGCTGTATTATGCTAAAAGGTGTAATTTTGTAACTTTTTTGGTTGTTGGTGTGCCGCGGGATCTTTTTAATGTAAAAAATGTGCCGCAGCTCAGAAAAGGTTGAAAAACACGGGCTTAGATGATATTTACTGATTTCATTTCTTCAAATCTGAGGCCAAGTTCGAAATAAAACTCCAATGAACTGCTCCTATGAACAGTGATTGGCTAGTACTTGATAGCTTGAAGCCTCCTGGATTGAATGCTATGCGGAATTATTGCTCATGTTCTGTAACCAGTGTCCCTATCACAGCACAAGCCTTTTCTCTCCTTTCTGTGAACTTGAAGTTAAGCCCCATGATGAACTAGTGAATTAATCAATGACTGATTTATCTGGCGATAGCAATATGCTTTCCTATGCTGTGACAACATGTTTATTATTATAATTTAACAACTTAATGCTTAACATGCTCAAACTTCTTCACTGGATTAGCCACACCAGATCAACCTGCCGTCTCCATCTGCCAAAGCTACCTCCGTGCTAGCCCCAGGACTCCCGGGTCTGGTCCACAGCGCTACATCGTCGTCCTGCTACTGGAGCTGTCGGTCTTCCCTGCCTGCCACATCGCTTGCCAGCACGAGCGGCCTGCACGAGCACACCTGTTTACCCTGCCGGGATCTTTCCGTCCCGGCGCGGTTAGCAGGCTCGGGTTGGTCTTCTTCGCTAGCCACAGCCACGCACCAGACCTCCATTTTCTGGGCAGGATCGTCTGGCTAACAGGCTGGTAGCCCCTCCAGGCCACCACTCCTTCCTCACCGGACTGTTGGCGTCTTGCCGCTGTTATGCTGAGAATCATCCCGTTGATACTCCTGGGTCGCACATCGCTTCTCTCACGGATAGCCGGCTCTTGGTCACCAGCTAATGCTAGCTTATCGCTAGCGCTCCCCAACCGGACCATGCCGACGCTGTACTCCACGTCAGATCTTCACAACTTCAACAACCACCTGCGTCCGGACTGCATGGACATTCTCAAAGAACATGGAATACTTCGCCGAGGCCATCCTTCACACAGAGGTTCTGGCCGCATGTTCACTTACAACTTCACGTCCCCAAACTCCATCCCATCCCTATGGTCCTGTCGCACCCGAACGTCCTTGTTACGTCACCACAACAAACAACACGTGCATCTGTCCAATCTCCGTCCCCTTCCTCAGTCCTCACAGCCTATCACAAAGCAACGTCACCTGAAACTGGCTTTGCTCAACACTCGCTCACTCAACAACAAAAGCCTCATTCTGAATGAATTCATAACGGACAGTAACCTTGATTTCCTCTGCCTCACTGAAACATGGCATAAACCCCTGGACTACTTCTCACTGAACCAGACCACTCCCACAGGATTCACATACATTGACAAACCTCGTGCTGAGGGGCGGGGAGGTGGTGTTGCTGCTGTTTACAGGAAGGACATTAAAACAACCACCATTTCCATTCCTGCCGTTCATTCTTTTGAACACCTTGCCTTCAAACTCTCTGGTCCCACTCCTTTGGTTATTGCTGTAATCTACCATCCCCCCCCAAGCCAAATCCCTCCTTTCTCTCTGACTTTTCAGACTTTTTGACTCAGCTATGTGCCATCTCACCTTCCGTTCTCCTCCTAGGTGATTTTAACATCCACATTGATAACACTGACTGTACATCTACGACAGAATTCCTGGAACTACTACAATGCTTCAACTTCACACAATATATCAACTTCCCCACCCACAGCCGAGGTCACATCCTGGATCTGGTCTGCACCACTGGTCTCACAATACCGCAACTCTCCAGCCTCAACCTCAACATCTCTGACCACCTGGCTATCACCATGGACATTGACATCCCTATCCCCATGCCAAAAACGAAGCGCACCATATCCTTCAGAAATCTCAAATCTATCTCCCCCACAACTCTTTCAGCCTCTCTTGCCAGTACCATGTCTGCCTCCCCTGCCCCGCTGTCTGATAATCCCTCCGATCTTGTAAACTACTACAATGACACACTCTCCTCCTGTCATGATCAACTGGCTCCCATCAAAACCAAAACTGTCTCATTCACACACTCGGCTCCCTGGTACACTCCTGAACTCCACCAGATGAAATCTCGAAAGCGCCAGCTTGAAAGACTCTGCAAGAAAACCGGTTTAACAGTCCATCTCCAAGCCCTCTCCGACTACCTTCAACAATACAAAGACGCTCTCATCTCAGCCCGGTCCACCTACTACTCACACCTCATACAGTCTGGCTCTTCTAACCCAAAGGCTCTCTTCTCCACAATAAATAAGCTTCTCAAACCCAAGGACAACACCTCCACATCCTTCACAGTGAACAAATGCAACTCTTTTCTTTCATTTTTCCAAACAAAAATTGACACCATTTACAGCAACCTGAACACCTCCCCCGCCTTTTCCATCTCTCCACCTGCCCCCCTCCTCCACCCCTCAGCCCCTTTCTCAGTTCTCCCTTGTGTCCCCATTGGAGCTGCCTAACTTCACAACTGGAATGAGAAGCTCCACCTGCATCCTGGATCCCATACCATCTAATCTGGTCAAGGACTGTCTCCCAGCCATCTCACCACTCATCACAGTCATCATTAACTCCTCCCTCAGCTCCGGCTCAGTCCCCGACACACTTAAACTGGCTGCTGTCACCCCCATCCTCAAAAAACCTGGACTTGACCCTGACACCATGAGCAATTTCCGTCCCATTGCCAATCTTCCCTTTCTGTCAAAAATACTGGAACGCATTGTCGCCACACAACTCAAAGCCCACCTCATCTCCAACGATCTGTTCGAGCCATTTCAATCCAGTTTCCGTTCACAGCACAGCACTGAAACAGCCCTCCTCAAAGTCACCAAGGACCTCCTCCTCTCCTCCGACGCTGGTCACCTCAACATTCTCATCCTCCTCGACCTCACTGCAGCTTTTGACACCATCAACCACAACATCCTTCTCTCCCGCCTCGAATCCTCCCTCAACATCACCGGAACTGCTCTCTCCTGGATTAAATCATATCTCACAAACAGACAACAGTTCATCAGTATCAACAACTGCACCTCCTCCACTGCTCCTCTGTCTCAAGGCGTCCCCCAGGGTTCAGTGCTTGGTCCTCTTCTGTTCATCCTGTACTTGCTCCCTCTTGGTAACATCATCCGTCAACATGGTCTTCACTTTCACTGCTACGCCGATGATGTCCAGCTCTACATCTCCACAAAGGCCATTACCACTGCTACTCACTCCACTCTCACCAACTGCCTCACTGACATTAAATCATGGATGCAAACCAACTTCCTCAAACTGAACTGTGATAAATCTGACATGATCATCATCGGTCCCAAATCCCTCACCAAAACCAGTCACAACTTCTGCCTCACCATCGACAACTCCACTCTGTCTCCCTCCCCACACATCCGCAACCTCGGAGTCATGTTTGACAGCAACCTCTCCTTTGAACACCACGTCAAACAAATCACCAGAACTGCCTTTTTCCACTTAAAAAACATAGCCCGTCTCGGCCCATCACTCTCCTCATCTGCTGCTGAAACTCTGATCCACGCCTTCATCACCTCAAGAATTGACTACTGCAACAGCATTCTCCACGGCACATCATCCAAAATCCTAAATAAACTCCAGTACATCCAGAACTCTGCTGCTCGCCTGCTCACCCACACCCGCTCCCGCGACCACATCACCCCTGTTCTCCAGAACCTCCACTGGCTCCCCGTCCCACAACGGATCCAATACAAAATCCTTCTCCTCACTCATAAAGCCCTCCACAATCAGGCCCCCTCCTACCTCACCGACCTGCTTCACCACCACACTCCATCCCGTCGGCTCCGCTCCTCTGATGCCAACCTCCTGTCTCTTCCACTCAGGACCAAGCACCGGACATGGGGTGACAGAGCCTTCTCCATATCTGCCCCCTCCCTCTGGAACTCTCTCCCCAAACACATCCGAGACTGCACTGAACTTTCCATATTCAAATCACAGATCAAAACCCACCTGTTCAAAACTGCTTTTAATGTGTGACCATTATTGTGTATTTTATGTTTTTAGTGTATTGCTTTTATATATGATGATTTTAATGTAAAGTGTCTTTGAGTTTTATGAAAAGCGCTATATAAATAAAATGTATTATTATTATTATTATTATTAAGTTGTTACATGTTACTCATCGAGTGGCTGGCTAGTTAGCTAGCTAGCTAGCTAGGTCCTCCATTCTTTAATGCTTCACTGTTTACAGAATATGACCCAAAAATAGTTGTCACTCAACTGGCGATAGCTATGTGCTTTCCTATGCTGAGACAAGAGTGTGTAAATGAAGCATTACATTATTAAATTTTACTCATTCAGCGGCTGGCTAATTTCACCATGCTCTCATGCTACATTGGTTTCAGAAAATTGTCCACCTCAAATGCTAGGAGACTAGTGGCCACCAGCCCACTGAGATCCATGGCCCAGGGGTTTGCGCTGGCAGAATTTGACATGATACAGCCACTAACTGAAGGTTTTTCTCCAGAGTTACAATCCACTTTCCTCTCTGTGAAGTCTATGATAAACTGTAAATTTATCAACACAGCCGCCATGCTGTGTCGAGGCTTTCGTCATACCACAGTGGTTTCATCTAAATTAGGTTGAAAAAACAATAACCATTAACTGTGCTGTGTAGATTTAGTGCCAGTGTAAAAAAATACATTTAAAGACACCTCTTCTTAAAAATTAAAACTAGAGATTTCAAACCTGTGAACCGTATTATTATTTACTTCTGGCAAGGGAATATTATAATGCAACACAAATAATCAATATCAAACAACAGAAATTAAGCGCTGGGTGATGATGCTACTTCATATGAGAAAACAAACCTGAGTAAAGCCCTCAGAAGCTAGCTCCTTGTGAAGCATGTTCAGTGCCAGCTTCCCAGCCAGAATCCCAGTCTGCAGGTTGACCTGGTCAGATGTTTGGGCCTCAGAGTTCCAGCAGCTGTACTGAGGAGCCTCCCTCAAGCCCTGAACAGATAACAAATCAGATCATAAGGCTAATTTACTTCAATAGTAGTTTGTGACAAGACCAAGGTATATTTATGTTAATTGGTAGATCTGCCCAACCAAACATTCTAATGACTATACTATTTGTTGTCTATATTCATGCTGCTCATATGATGAACACCTACTCATAACACTCATACCTTTTCTCAACTGCCACCCACAAATCAAATCTCCAATTCAACAGACCATATTGCATTACAAAATCTAACGAACAGATTGGTACCAAGTTCAAAACTCTCAGCATATCAGTTCTGATTATTACATGACTAAATTACATAACATACAATAGTTAACGACCCTTGTCGTGAAATTTTTTTCGGGGAATTTGAGGTTCCCAGAGGTTCCGGTGGCCAAGTTGTGTGCCTCAGTCGGACAGGTGCTGGATAGAGTTGGCCAACAATAAATTTCTTCTATGGCTTTGTGTGGCTAACTTTACTAAAAATGTGAACACCATCTGAGCTTCAGTAACATTCATATTCAGTCAACAGTGAGAGACAGAGTCATGCTACACTGTGGTACTTAACATGCATTTGATCGTACCTGATGAAGAAGCAACTCATCATATCCTCTGGTGCTGCCTGTAGCACCGCAGGTCATTGACACCAGGGTAGATCTGGGCAAGAAGTCGTACACTGAACACTTCTGAAACAACACAACAGGTGAAGACTGGCCTATGATTAAATTAACAATTAATTAACTCCACACTTCCCACTTTTTTATCTAATTGTAAGATATTTTTGGTAGCTGGACCTCTTATTCTCCAGAAAATACAAATGAAAGTCCCACACAAACCCCCCTCATTATAAAATGCTGCAAAATCATTGTCCACAGTGACAGAATCTGTGACCACATTGTAAATATCAAGAACAATTGATTTGTGGGGAGTCTCTCCAGAGCCAATCAGATCACTGAGAACAGTGGGGCGTCACCTCACAGCAGGTGATGACGAGGCTCCGCCAGGTGGGTATTTTAGCTATCTGTGTAATCTGGGACTGTAATAAACCATCTGCAAGATGAATGGTTATTTATTATTTTTATGGATATGAATTGAGTTTTCTTCCTGCCGCTATTGTTACATATTAATAGCTTTTATCAGTGAAACACATGAAGATTTTCAGTGTGAAGCAGCTACAGGAAATGCATTATATATGTCACCAAGGTTAGACTTTGTGTACACAACAGGATATGGACATACTTTTAGAAGAAACAGCCTGACAACAGACTGCTGCCTTTCTGCAAACCTTCAACATGTCATTAAGATAAGATAAGATAAGGCAGCCAGTTACATAATCTTAACAACCACTCATGGTACTAGAAGTAGACAAAGACATGATGGCAGTAATAATAGTAGCAGTAGATTTAGCACTGGCAGTAGCAGAAATATCAAGAATTAGTACAATAATTCAAGTATAGTCTGAAGTCAAGGTGAGAGCAGACCTGGATGGCACTGTGATTGTTCGGGCTGATGTCCACAAACATGGTGTGAGTGACAGCTGGGATCAGAGGCTGAAGGCTGGGCTGTACAAAAGCCCCTACAGGCTCCCTGCCAAACCTGGGCAGCCAGCCCCTTTCCGCCTGACTGTCTGTGGCACCCACAGCATCTGAAAGAAACACAGGGAAGAGCAGCAGCTGCACATTATATAAGCCAGATCAGTAAGGATGACAAGACTTAATGAAAACATGCAATCGCCAACTGACCAACAAGTAGCACTAACAGCCCAAGATATGCTGCAATACACAAGAAGAGGAAGACTGCAAGCCGGTAAACATGGATATAAACTGGATTCAAAATACTTGGAAAATGGTTGCAAATGTTTTAATAGACATGCTCTACACAGGTTTCTTAACTTAGTTTATACTTGCTGTAGTGAAGCTGGCATGCGTGCGTGAAGGGTCCTTTGGTTTTTGGGAGCTTTTCAAATGTAACTGTTGCAAATATTCACTAATAAGAGTATGAATATCATGTCTGAGAATTTACAAAGAAGGCTAATCTGCTTTTAAAAGCTTTAGAAAGTTGCGGTCCTAAAAAAACCTACATTTGAGTAAATATTTTGCAGCCGAATCAAATTGTTTACAGGATATTCAACCTTTGTTTTTTTTACAATTCATTTGATACTTGACTTGTTTCTTTACAGGTCTTGTACAAAGGCAATAAAGTAGCCCATGAATATAAGATTTCAGTTTATAGTTGATTACAATTCCTCCCCGGCATAGTGGAGATTGGTTTAATTGACTTGATCGCTTCTTCACGGTACGTTTTGTTAGTACACCCTCTGGCGTTTAAGAGAATAATGCAACAATGTGAGTTGAGCATAAACACCCTTTGTGCATGTTTGGATCTGAAGAGGATTGCGCTACGGTGCCACGTTTGAGTGTAAACAAAGTTTGGGACCTCAAGGATACACATAATGTATTTTGAATGAGTAGCTGAGCGCAAGAACACACACGCATACACACTTGGTACCCGCCTGTGAGCTTTTGTATCTTTTACATTAACAATCAAATAGGACATATTTATACTCTGCTCTGACTGGCTGATGGTCATGTATTATGGTCTTGTTTGTCTGACTTCAGTTAGTAAACTGTGCTTTAATTCAATGAGTATCTGTCCAACCCCCCCTCTTTTATTCTGAAAGTCAGAGGTGCATATTGGCTGTTGTTTGCATGTACACAACTTGACTGACCACTTCCCCAAATATCTATTTTCCTTTCAAATGTTAATTCATGTGTGTGTACATCACCTCATAGTTCACATAACCTTTTAATTTCTAGAGTACTAACTCCACCCATCATTTTAAAAGTAGGCAAGGGTGCATGGATGTATGAGGCAGGAGTTATTAAGTGGGTGTTAACATTATATTTTTAGATACATTTCATGCTGTAAATTACTCCAAACAAGTGACTCTATCTCTGCATTGACCTGCAACATGCAGGGCTTATTTAAAATAGTAGATGGCATGTTGAGCCATTTTGAACACTTGAAATACTGATAATAATAATATTTTCTAGACATTTAAAAATAAATGTCAATATTAACACCAGCATTGATGTGTTCCATTACAGTACAGTCATATCATTTAGTCTACAACTCAAAATAAATGTTTAAGTATGCTGTACCTCAAATGTTTGTTTACTTTGTTGCAAAATAAAATGCTTTGAATGGCTGTGGGACTGAATTTTGTAATTAGTGAAAATATGTTATCATTTGGTATTTGGTCAGTTTTCAGTTGTTCAATATTATACTCAGTGTGTTCCTCCCTAACTCATAAACAACATAACATCTGACAAAGAGCAGTCTTAAGCCAGAGAGGGGTGTTTGTCATGTTCCAAACTACACACACAATGCTGGTATGGTTGCTTACCTCTGATGAGTGAGGTAATACCTAGCCTAATCAAACAGACATTATGCAGCTCCTCACTGCTAATGAATATCTCAGCCAACACATACAGGTCTGGCATCAGAGAACGAGCCTGATCGAGCATGTGCTGTAGAGCCAAATCACAGCCAGCAGGGTCACCCCCAGACCATGCAAAGGTGGGTACAGAGTTAAGATCAGAATGAGAAGAACAAGGTGGATAAGAGATACCGGAAGAGATATGATGGGAGGATGATGGAGATGCATAGATGGCCAGAACAGATCTTGTTCAAAACAAGAGAAAGATGAAGCATGCAGCATTATGATGAACCACGGTTTAGGTTGATGGGATTAGGGAATCAGGTGAAAATAATGGGAGATCAAAGGATTTATAGTTAAATACATTTGCATATGGAAATGCTGGTACATGTCAGATGCAATTGTAATTCCAAAGTCCAACTGATCACTGCAGTTCTTCACTGTCTAACAGACATTCCAGTGTGAAAACACTTCGTGCAAAACTGCATTTTCTGGCGGGGTCAGTACCTTGCACTAAACTGGTGATTCCCAGGTGATTTACAAAGACATTGTCAAATGATTCAATGCCGGTTAAGATATCAGCTATCACATAGAGGTCAGGCCTGACAGCTCTGGCTGCTGCAAGCATCGCCTAGAGGGACCAACACATAAAGTACACAGTAATTAACCTGGAGTCTATCCACCATAATTAAATATGTGTTTCTTTACAAACCCATTATTCCAGCCTAGGATTAGATAAGACTACAGATGGTAAGAGGGGTCCAAGTTGTCATGGCTTGACTCTGTGTGGGACCCATAAAACTTTGTAAAATTGAAAATTTTACATCTGCTTCTCCAAGTTGCTAAATTATATTATATGACTGGATCTAACCGGCCACGGGGCCTCAGAAGGCTCAGAGGCGGCGGCAGCCGTTCCGGGGGTAGCTGCGGCTCAGAGGTGGCGGCGGCCGGGTCCGGGGATAGCTGTAGCTCAGAAGACGCAGCTGGAGAACACGGGGGAGCCGGCGTCGGCCGGACCGCTGTCAGGACACGGGGAGCCGGCAACAGCCAGACCGCCGCCAGGACACGGGGAGCCGGTGTCAGCGGGACCGCCGTCAGGACACGGGGAGCCGCCATGAGCTGCGACCCAGCGGAGGCGGAAACGGGGACTTGAACATTCTTCTTCCCATGTCTCTTCTCTTTAGGGTTGAAAAAACATCCTACCAACTTGTGGTTGGCCAACTGGACACTACGAGGCTCTCCCAAGGCCAGCCGGGTTTCCTGAAACAGGTTAGAAGATCTTGGTGCAACGCGCACCAAACTGTGGTCTGCTGAGTCCATTGTGGTCAGTCTGTTCTGTCAAGGGAGCTCTGGACAGGACCCAACAGCAAGACCACAAGACAGGATTGAGGTAAAGAAAATACTTTATTTAATACTCTACAGATGGCAGGATCGACGGTGTGATTTCCCGAGGCTCGACACCAGAAGGCAGGCAGGATTCACTATGTGGATCCCTTGGTCTGACACAGGGTGGCAGGCAGGATCGACGGTGTGGTTCTCCGTGGACCGACACCGGAAGGCAGGCAGGCGAGTAGACATAGGGGTCGACACCGATACGGGGTCGAAGACGGTAGGGGAATGAAGATGGTTCGGGAATGAAGACGGTACGGACTGCGGATTGCGGCCTGTGACATCCAAAATGGAGGGAGACCTGATTTCTGAGACCGTGAGCAGACGATTGGATACGGGAAATGTGTTCTGCCTGAGGCGTTGCCACCGATATAAAATCCTCAAGAAGCTTGTTCTTGTTTTGGAGCTCAGACTTCAGCCGATGAATGGAATCCTCCAGACGTGAGTAAATGATTTTGCAGTCCTTACATACAGCCATATTAAAAATATTATTGGGTTGATAAATATTGAAGCACAAACATGAATCAGGAGCAGATCACAGATCAGCGCTGCAGCGCTCTGATCGGCATCCGTGTCTCCAAACCAAATGTTTGGGCTGCGCTCTCTCAGCTCATCAATTGTTAGTGCCTTACTTCAGGGTTCCTGAAGTGAGCAGTCTGAAGCTGAGATATTTGACTGGGGGCGGTCTGCAAATTGCTAGTTTGTTGGCAGAAGGAATGAGCAAACAGAGAGGTGAAAAATGCAGAGCCCCTAAAGCTTGTTTAACTTCCCTCCAAACAAGGCTCTGATATGACATCAATATTGACAATATTGATGTCAATAATTTAGTTTTTCATATTTGCTGATAACCAAACAAGATACTCATAGAACCTGTTTTTATCCACATATCTTGAGGTGAGAGGTCAAGTGCCCCTGTGAACATGGCCATACCAGTTTTTCCTCTCCAAAATGTTGCCAAATTTAGACTTTGGAATCAATGGATTTAGACACTGTCATCTACAAGGAGTGGAAGAGATCATGATCAGTCAGCTGTGGTTGCAATGAAATAGTAAGAGTAGTACCTCAGCCACATGCAGAGGGGTAGACAGGCAGTTGACCAGGCATATACCAGAGAAGACCTTGGCTGTAATCTCTGTGTATGTCTTCATATGAGCCCACAGGTAAGGGCAGTCCTCTGGTTTCTCTCCATATCGAAGCTTGATAGTGTCATCTTGACAGACCAGTTCTCTCTGCAAGTAGACCTCTGAGCCTGCAGACAACATTAGAAGAAGAAATGGCAGATGAAGGTACTTGGAAGTACAAATATGTCTGTTGTTTTATGTGCTTTGAATGTCTGCCTGTCAAAATGTGGCTACATTAAAGACACCTTTTATATATATAATCAATGTGTTAACTAGATGTGTTTATTTCAATCACAATCCATAAATTACTTGCACAACTTTTGGGTGTTCATTTTCATCAGAAGAGAATATGAAGCAGACATAATCCGAAAGATCACCTTGACCTGTGGATACCTGTAACTAGGCCCATTGGGCAATAAACTTCAGATAGAGTCTGTGAGGGTGCTCTTTGAAATAAACAATGTTTAGGTTGTTGTAAAACTAAATACAAGAAAGACTATTATAAAAAGAGCTTAGAAAGGAGGTTGAGGCCTCCTTCTCCCTGTGTGATAATCATGCACCTTCCTTAACAAGGAGATGTCTGTTCTAAAGTTTAATTGGTAGGTGCAGCTGACAGTCAAATGATAAGAGAAGATAAGAAAGGACCTCGGGTGAAATTATAGAGCCCTGTTGTCGGCTACTTTTCTTGTGTAATAGCGCCTCCATTAGACACAAATTGTAATGGTATATGATCCTGTTGTTGGGATCTGATTATATGGCTTCGACATGTGCTGTGGAACAAAGAGAGTCAGGCCTTCCATTTTGCAAGCAAAGGTTTCATCCTGATTGTAGTTTGATGAGCACCAAACCCCCAGCTCTGAAGAAATTCACATTAGGGTGTGAGTTTCCTCCCCCAAAAAACTATGCGTTCCTGAAGTTACCTGAAAGCACCGCTGCAAACTAATTGGCCGAGGGCCAAGACACCCCAGGACCCCTGTGGTTCAGCCACCTTTCTACAAAACTACCCTGCAACCCCCACCTCAACGCTTTTTTCCATCGATCCCTCCGGGGTAAGCAGGAGGCACACACTGCAACGTTGTTCCCCTTTCTTTTTAACCAAAACCTAGGTTTAACAGTTTATATTCGCTGGCCGAATTCACCAAACTGTCTATTTTATCGTTGTTCATATCCACGAAGCAAACCCTTTTACTCCTGCAGAAGTGAAGAAGCAAGACTTCTTCAGAGAGAGAGAGAACTTCCACTCTCCACCAAGCGCCTCGTTTGCTCCGGTCATAAGGACGCGAAATCCCCCTTATCCACACGAAGCGATTCTCTTCCACGGAGAGCACACCTCCCGCGGCCCGCAGCCGCGCTGCCTGAGCCCACCGAAGCTCAGAAGGACCCCCCTCAATCACCACAATTGCATCGTACCGTAAGGCGAAATAGATTGTGGGCAGAGTTAGAGAGAGTTTTATTTGTGTTTATTTTATCTTGTTTATGTTCTTAAAGTACTGTTCATTTTTATAACGTGGTGTATGCTTTATGATCACCGACACTGGCGATCCCTGAAATTGCTAGTGTTGTGTAGAAGTAGCGTGTATTCCATGCTACTGTGATTCGTGTCGAGACAGCCGCAGTGAGGTCTCAGGTCAGAGGTCGGAACCGCGTCTGTGACAAAGAGCCCGGTTCTTGCTCCTCTGGCTGGGAGAACAGTTTACTGAACTCCAGCGCGACGCGGAGGATCTTAATCTTTTGTTTTATTTCATTTTGTTTTGTTCTTTTCCCTTCTCTTTTACTAATCCACACACACATATAGCTTTGAGCTAATGTAGCTATGTGCTAAACGGCTACCGGCATGGGTAGATGCCGGGTCTCCTGTTGGCTATCCGCCATTTTGAGTCTCGCGCATGAGAGACTTCACCACGTCCCAACTACGTCATACGTTGCTGAGCTGTTCCCTCGCTCCTCCCCCTTACGCACACATACACACACACACACTACATGTACACACATACATGTTCACTTTCACTCTGAATGTGTCATAGTACTCAGACTGTTGACATTGTGAGTGAACACTAATTATGAGACTTAGTTTATCGTTTGGTTATTGGTCCCTGTTTGCAGGGTGGTGCCCCGTTATTATTAATAATCATTAATAATTGTTACTGACATTAATAATTCTATTGATGTCAAGAATTTAGTTTC